GTCATGATTTGAACAAACTTAAATCTACACTACCTAAGGGTGCTTCCGTATAAGTTTCATCTTTCCTGGCACAGTGGTTCTTGAGAAGAAGATTTTTAAAGAATATTCCTACATATTTCTATGTAAAACTTTGGTCGGCCATTGTGGCCCCGCCATACCCCTGGGGGTCATGATTTGAAGAAATTTGAATCTACACTACCTGAGGATACTTCAATATAAGTTTCATCTTTCCTGGCACAGTGGTTCTTGAGAAGATTTTTAAAGAATTTTCCTACATATTTATATGTAAAACTTTGGTCGGCCATTGTGGCCCCGCCCTACCCCTGGGGGTCATGATTTTAACAAATTTGAATCTACACGACCTGAGGATGTTTTCTCATAAGTGTCATCTTTACTGGCACAGTGGTTCTTGAGAAGAAGATTTTTAAAACATGCAACCAAATTTTTATTAATTCCAAATTATCTCCCCTTGAATGACGGCGTGGCCCTTCATTTGAACAAACTTGAATTCCCTTCACCCAAGAATGCTTTGTGGCAAGTTTGGTTGAAATTGGCCCAGCGGTTCTTGAGAAGAAGTCGAAAATGTGAAAAGTTTACAGACACACAGACAGACAGACAGGCGGACGGACGGACAGACACTCTACAGACAAAATGTGATCAGAAAAGCTCACTTGAGCCTTTGGCTCAGGTGAGCTAAAATGTCAGTGAGCATTTGACTTAGTGATAAATTGTATTTGCTGACATGGTCATTGTATCGACCATAGAACTTACAAAATGATGCGATGAGATTGCTGATATTCTTGTTTCATCAACTTATTTGTCAGGAACATACCTCAATTTAGAAATTGTTTGCTCGTAGAACATGTTTTCGTGATCGAATCAATTGAGAGATATAAACCCCCGTACGCAGGTGATGAAGTTAAATTAGTGCTTAAGTAAGGCAAGTTAACGATTGAAAAGTTAAACTTATCACTGATAAGTTTAACTTTTTAATCGTTAACTTGCCTTACTTATCACGTTTAACATAAAGCTTGGTTGTTAGATTACCATTATTCTCATTTTCAAGGAAAATATCCAAAAATATGAAAAAGATGTGTCAGAATTTTGTTATCCTTATCGTTTTGAAATTAGAATGGAAATAACTATTGTTAATTGACAATACGTCGTCGATATACATGTAACTAAATGTTTTCTGGTGAAAATACGATTCACTTTGCAAAATTCTATCCTAAATAGAATAGCGAATCAGTGAATTGTAGTACATGTTTTTCTTTCATTACAAAGTTTTCTTCCATTTTGAAAACTACCGTGACACTGAATATTAAATGTATCTTAACGTGTCTAGAAAACGGAACATTCGTGCTAAAACTAACATCTGATATGAATATAAACTAATCATCTAGTAAATGTCCATATTAAAAAAAATATAAGTATCTGACTTTTAAAAAAAATCTCATAAACCACCAACAGCAATGCAATTTTGCAACTGATTCATGAAAATGAATGGATATATAACGTTAGATGAGTCAGCTGTAACATGCACAATAAGGGACTTATTCATAAATATTTTATGGGTAATAACTAGGTCTATTGTATCGAATTGGGTCAAATACTTTGATCGAATTTATTGACTTTGACATATGAAATCTTAATGATGTTTGCACATTTAATGCATGATTTTATTTCATTTAGTGTATGTATTCATGTAACAATACTGTATCTATGTAAATGTTGTTTTTACGAAAAATAAAGAAAATGAGTATAGGTAACTGTTTCTCTAAGACAGTGGAATTTTGCAGCTTGCTGGAAAGAACATTGAACAGCAGCTCTTGCGTTTTGTTAATTTTTTTTTTTAAAGTTTCGGTAATTTTCATTTCTTTGAAGAAAAATTGTTGAAGTTCTATTTTTTAATATATTTAATAAGTGGTATACTTTTAGCCCCATCCCATTCCCCCACACTTAAACATATAGAAAAACACAAGTATGATTCCAGGTGTTTCTGCATAACAAAATTTTGACGTAGAATCTTGTTTTACACTTTGGAAAGCCGATTACTTCATGGGGATACACACTCCTCCATGGCACCTGATCCCACCTCCGATGTTTTGGAGGTCCGTGCTTGCTCTGCTCCTATTTTGTATTGTTTTATGGACTTTTGATCTTGAATACTGTTCGTTATCTCCATGTGTTTCATTCAAGGCAAAACACATTCTCCAAAATTTGTTTCGAAAATTACAGTAAAAAAGAAACAATACGCCTTTTTTTGGTTTACTAACTGTTCTTATAACGAAGAAATAATTAGAAAAACAATGCATGAGTACAGCGACCTTTCTATGTTTTAGTGGATTCTTCTGCGACAGGTAGCCCATGTACACCTTTTACATGCACTTAATAATTATCTCTTCTTCCTGGACATACATCACAAGGGAGTCACTCATTAACACGAACTCTGGATTGTGGTTTAATCAACTTCTTACCAAGTCCATATTGCAAAATTTCCACTTGTTTTTTTTTTCTTTGTGGATGACGTTATTTTGTGCATTTGTCAATATTATAATTGCAGATATGTTTTACTGCATGGATTGATATTTAAAAATTATGGTTAATGTGTCAGTTACAGAAGTAAGCATTTCATCTACTTAGGGTAATCTTTCGACAATATTTCCCCAACTAAGGGTTTTTTTATTTTCAAATCGAAGATTAGGCATGAAAAATGAATTTGACAGATTTTTAATTTGATGGATTTCGAATTAGATGCCACTAGATCTAAGAGAAAAAAGCTTCCTCTTATGTTCAATACTTGCCATAATTAAACATATAGCAATTCTATAAATTAGATCAGTTTTTGCTTATTTACTTATTTTATGGTAGTGCAATCTCGAGGTTTCTTAAATCAGCAGTTAAGTAATTAAAAATGTTCAGAAATTTCTCTTGAATAAACTAAATAAAGCACTATCTTTTCAAACTTAATCACTACAACTTACCATGTTATGAATGGAAAATTATTTAATCTCCAATATACTAGTATATTCAGGAAAAGCGAAAAGAATGATCAGCTATGCATTTTCTAATTGAAAATTGATCTACAAATATTTTACGTTAAAAACTGTAGGTGTCCAGGCATTCAAAGAAATTTGCATGTTTTAAAATATTTATTCGGTATTTCTAAATGTCGAGTTTAAGGCCACAAGTCCTTTCTTCTTTAAATGTATGTTTTATTTAAAATTCTACTTCATATAAATACAAAAATAGGTCTGCTTATAATGGGACGCAGTTGGTACCAATGGTAATTCCTACAGATTTTTTGAAGAACTGATCTCGAAAATTTGCAAAGATATTGTCAATTAAAAACTCAAGCATCTTTTAAATATCAACTTCAATGTATTTGTGTGTATAATCAATTTTTAACAAAATAATTATGTAAGTATTGAATGACAAAGAAAGTATATCTTCGAGTTTTATTTTTATTGAAGACACATTTGTCAATGATGTCAAAAATCCTGCAAAAAGTGGTATAAGCTGTTAATGGAACCATCGTTCATTTGATTTAATTGATTGTGGTAAAATTTTGTGATTTCAATTCCTCTTAATCTTTCTTGCTACTATTTCACATCTGACTAACACCATTTCTGAAATATACTGCTGTTTTGGATTCCTGAAGTTTATCCTAATTACTCTTATAACAATTGTTATGAGGAGTAAAGAAAGAGGCTCATTAGAATATTTAATGGAACCCGCTATGTATCTTTGTTTGTAAGGGACAGAATACAATTATGTAATTGTTATTCAAACCAACAAAACAGGATGCAAACCTGCTTTGTCAGTTGGGTTCAGTATAAACTGAACGTGTAATCTATCTTTTTCGTTTTTCACTCCTGAATAATTGAAACAGAAAAAGGATACTAGATGGTTTTATATCGCCAATTAAATATACGAGATTTCAAGTCCAACTGATCCAGTGTTTGTCTCCTTATCAGCAAAAAGGTGTACTCAGTGATGGTTATTAGTATGATGGTAAATCATGAAGTCTATCTTGACTTCAGAGTCGTCAGTATAAAGAGAGGAGTTGCAAGTATTAGTAGAACATTCTTACGCATACTTTGACCTAAATTTCCTTAATAAACTCAAGCTCATATAGAATCCATAAATTAAAAAAAAATGAAGTGCATTCAATTCTCTCTTCAGAAACATCTGTACATCTAAACCTTTACATGTATGTATGGCTTTGGATAGCGTTATACCTGGCCTTACTTAACTCAGGTAAATGAAATATATTGAGATGAAGAATAGTACTCAAGGTCAAAGGTCCACTCAAACAATACAGATCTGGATAAAAGAATATTGTTATTTATTCATATATACTTTCCTAAGTTTTAAATCCCTTTGATGTCCAACGTATATAAATTAAATTTAATCAGCCTGATTTTAATTAATTCCAGAATCGTTAAATTGTTTCCTAATTCTTTAATTATTTATCTCTTGCTTTTTAATTTATTTCTTTCCATATTAATTTTGACCAAATTACGTAATTAAATAAATTTTCATCTGTTTAACTTTTTTATATGTATAATAAAGCCTCTGTATATGTTGAAAGACTTTTGTTAATAGAAAGAAAGGTCATAAAAATGAAATAAAATCTTGTACTGTAGAATCGTCAGCAACCGCAAAACTTTCTCCAAGGCTATATAAAAATATGAAGCAAGGATCTTCCAATAAAACGAGAAATGCTGTAAATAGATTTGAATATTTTTAATTTCAAAAGTTTATTGCCAAATAAGTAAAGGTCTTATCATAAACATAATTTTTTTTAAATTTTCCATCAGGTTGAAATTGAATTTTGATAAATGTAGCCTTTTAATACGGTCTTAGCAGAAATGTTTTGAGTTGCCAAGAATTAAAAGATAAATTAACTAATTTAAGATAAAAGAACAAAAAATTTAAATATATAATAATTAATTTATTTTTATTTCAAAGATATGAAAACAATTACAGTCAGATAATAATACCCTGTTATGACATAAATAGCGGATTTCTTACTACGTGAAAATACTGATCAAACTCTAAATCTACGTATTGACTACAAGTATTCGTCATGTAAAATTTCCAACACGGTCAATTTTACACAATTTTCTACGTCTAGTTGCTAATAAATTATACTAAACTAAAAAATATTTACATGTACAAAAAGCATAGCATAATTCAATTCACTTGTTTTGAATTCAAACCAACCTCAAACTGTTCTAAAAGTTTTTTATTGGAATCTCCAGATCCCATACTAGTCACGATAATAAGCCGTGGATAATGTACGTTCCCTCTCCGCTTCTTGCCAGTTTTAGCGATCACTTTGGAAATATTTGTAGTTTTCTTCGCAAATTTATCCATCAGCTGACTTTTTCGTAATGTTTCTCTAAATATTTCATTCAGTCTCTCTGATTTGATAAAAGTTGTTAGATACATTAAAGCTTTTAACTTGGCTTCAATGGATTCTCTCAAATGTTTGTCCATATTTTTCCTTCTAAGAACACTACCAATACTGCTAAGGATCCCCTTTTGAAAACCGAAATTACCGTTGATGTCCCCCGTCTCCACGACTGGAAACTTCCTGGCCTGACCTTTCTTATCAACATGTACTGAATAAGTATCCAAAGGGAGGGAGGGAGCAGCACTTAGTACTCCCTCGATTGTAGCCTGTTTTACCGTGTGGCCAACCTTTTCAAGGACCTCGTCAACTGATTTGGGTGACTGTGTCGTCGTTTGTATGTTTACGGCTGTTGTTCTTTCTGTGTATCTTGCGCCTGATGCAGGGTGAACAGGCATTCCCATTTTCGTTGGTGCTATTTGCATATATTCAGAGGCAACAACCTTGTTCAAAGAAGTTTGAACTTTGCTTCTGATCTCATCAAATGTTTGGGGGTAAGATTTCACTTCTTCATTTACATGTGTGTTTTTAACTTTTGACTGATTTTCACCTGAATAAGACACAGAAGCATTTGCCAACATAGATTCATAAGAAGCTTTAGTAGGAACCACAGGCAATAATGCTGCTGTAGTTGATCGAATGTGTCTTGTTGATGTTGGTTGGACTGTTGTTGTTACCGGTCCCTTAGCAACAGGCTGATTTCTCCCGCCATTTCTTATAATGTCTCGAAGGGAAAAGCGCATCTTCTGATTTCTATTTCCTGTTCTAAAAGGATTTGTATCTACAGTCCTTTGCTTAAAAATTAAATCTTTTTCATTTGTCTTCTTAAACTCTTTTTTCACGTGAATCATAGCATTATTAATCGATGGTTTTACTGTCATATTATCACTAGTTTTGTCTGATTTTTTCTTCAGAGGTTCATTTGATTTCCTGTTTGTTAAGCTTAACTGTTTACTTGAAGTGTCCTGTTTAAGTCCAGTAACGGTAGAACTTTCCATTCTTTTGCTCGAAGTAGTTGTAGCTGATGGAATGGAAGGAAGTTGAAACTGTTGCATGATAGTGTTTGCTCCTTTCTTTAGATTGGTACCAGCAACATCTTTCGTTACTTTTGAAATATTTTGTAGTTTTTGTTTAATTGGGTCATATCCTTTTCTTGTGAAGGAGTTTTCACACCCTTTAACTTGTGATGGAAAATCGCACCTGTCTTTGTTTGGGTTAAATACAGTTCCAGGGGCACACTTTTGTCTTCGACTAACTATTAAGCTGCACTGATAAAAGAAATTACAGTAAATTGGGTCTGGGTAGTTTCCAACTTTTTTCCCAAAACAGAATGGGTCGTGATTTCCATTTGTCGTATTATTTCTGATAACTATATCCCTTTTATCACTTTGAACTGCAGAAACGGATGCCTGTTTTGCATCAGCAGATGCACTCTTCACTTCTGCATCATCTTGATTACCCGGATTAACAACAATGATTTCATTTGGGTCTGCAACTCCATCCATGTTGTAATTATTCTTGAATTCTCCATACAACTGTTTCTCGCATCGAGGGACATTTTCTGGAAAATCGCACTTCTTTGTTAGGTCATTAAAAAAAGTTCCCGGTGCACAGCGCTGACGAACAGCATAATAATTTGTACAGTCGAAGAAATATCCACAGTCCGTTGGATCCGGAATGATGTCCGAGTTATCTCCACATAATCTTAGGGAAGCAAATTCTGAAATGTGAAAAAAAGGATATGCCTTCATGAATATATATTTAATGCTTAAACTAATAATTCATTTTATATAAGCCTTAATGATATTTTGCACTAAAGGATGATAAGCAAAAGAATTCATGATAATAGGGCTTTCACTTCCAAAGTATTTTTCTTACCTAGTAAATGTTCTGCAAAAGCGAATTCAAGCACTGCTGCAAATACCAAAAATAGTGCCTAAATAGGAAAAAATCAAAAATTAGTTGGCATAATACATTGTATATTCATGTTTACTTTGCCAAAATAAAGTTATGGCCGGTTTTTAATCATTTCAATAAAAAAATCGAATTTTAAATTTTTTGCGAACTTACCATTGTGCAGACAAAGCTCAAATTGCTAATTGTTTATCTGGAAAACAAGTTTTAAATCAGAAGATGGGCGTAACTCCCTTACAATCACCTGTCAAACAGCGCATCACGTGATAAAGGAAATCAATTAACTTGCAATACTGAAAGGCCTGACATACATCATTATGTTACGTTATCTGCGGACAAAAATTCTGTCCAAATCTTGAGGTCTGATTTATTGTTACAGTTATTTATTGCCTTGTGTGACTCGACAGTTCTTATGATAAAAATTAGGTGAATCTTTTGATAAAATGATTGGCAGGCATTTGTAAGATAAAAACTTTATTCCCGTGATCATATCGTGTATTCCATGCATTAAGTAGCGTAATTGTTTTTCGGAAGTTGCCAGAGGATAGAAAATAATAATAAGAATCACAAATTGATCATGATCAATAGAAACAAATAATTTATCAAAACAGGGCCAGGTCTATCTGAAATAAATTCTTTTTATTGTTTAATTTTATTTTCTCAGTAATTTGACGCAAGTGCACAAATACTGGAAACTTCCAAAGATTAATATATGCCAGGTGTTAGACGACAGAAAATATTATTGTAATTTCGTGTCTTGTATAAATTGAAAAGGCCTCTCCAAAATGTTTATTCGTAAATTATTGCTATTATTTTTACCTAATAATAATAATATCATTATTATTATTATTATCATTATTATTATAAGAATCTAATGTTCCAGTGTACATACATGTAGCAATACAATGCATCTTCATTTAAAATGTCCAAAACATATTATAATATAATCAAATCAAATTTGATTAGCAGTAAGTACAATGTGAGAATATTATAATGAAATCTTTTATGTTATGTGGAAACCATGAAATTTCCAAAATTTATTATAAAACAAAAGCGGACCTTAGACTGGATGTACTTTAAACTATGTAACGGAATCAAATATCACAAGAATGCATGGGCCAAGCGGTGTGTCAAATAATAACAACTCATTTGCAGCATGTGATAAATGTCTGCAAACGTTTTTATGTGTAAAAATTAATCACTATAGAAAAAATTAATTGAAAAAGATTAACGAATCTTCATTATCAGCGGAGAGGTGGTTCCTACTTCGATGAGCGATGTAAAAATTTAAGAATAAAAGAATTAAGACCACTATAAAAATAAAAGATACGTCAGAAACAATCTTTAAGAGAAAATAAAATTCATATAGTACCCCCTTCCCTAGCTAATGGATATTCTACATGTAGATGAGAAAAGTAACTGTTTTATCACTGCATTAGCACAATACAAATGCAGAAGTAGACTTTGAAATAGAGGCATTTAAAACAAAGTATTTATTCACTGAAATCTGGACTTACAGCTCAGCAAAAATTCATTTTATTAAAATTTTACTCATTCATTTATGATAATCAATTTTAACAGATGTTGCATGATTTTTGACATTTTAACTTGCTATTAATTTATTAAAGGTAATGAATATTTAACCCTTATATAAGTCATTTCACATTTATATAAAAAGTGAAAAGCCTCAGTTTGAATTATAATATTTCAAAATATCAAAAAAAGAAATAAAATCTTAAATCTTGTCACAACTTATTTGTATGCGGAGCTGAGTCTCTGACTCTACCACTCTCTGACAATTTGTCAGTTTTATGACATTTATTTTTCACTTATAGATTATTTTAATTATGTAAACTGTTAAAGTACTTATACAATTTGTAATAATTTCATTTACATTTGTAAACAAAAATAAAAAAAAAAACGTTGCTCCAATAGAGTCTGTAATTTAGTCTGTATCCGTAACATGATATTGTCTACTTCAATGAAAGAATTCTTTTAAATAAATACATGTACATGTAATAAAATACACATTAAAAGTTGATTAAAAATACAAAATGTCATAATATATATTTCAACGTTTGATTACTTGTGCGTAAAGAATTACTACGAACTTCCGAAGATGAACAATGGCAATAATAGATAACATTTACGACCGAGTTTAATTTTTATAGCAGCAGTAGCTGTCTATTATATTAAAAAGCCTTGTCTGTAATTGGTCAAGAGTAATAGATAAACATGTACAATTAAAAGGAATACGCTTTGATGTTATTGTTTTTAGAAAAAAATAATGTTGTGATTCAAATGATCAAAAATTTGCTTTGCATTTTTAGGTATCCATATTTGACGAACACATATTTTCCGATGTTTTAATTTGTTGCACGCGTCTAATTCACTGCTGTAAAAGTTTTGTGAGGAGAAAAAGAGGTTTTTACATATTAACAAAAACAAATAATAAGGTTATTGTGTCTGGAAATACCGGTATAACGTGTACCATTTTATATAATATGCTCAGCATAACTCACATTCCCTAAAAACTGGCTATAATTTGAAGGAAGCATTCCGTACTTGTGTCTTTAAATTAATTTCCCTAATCCTTCTCTTTGTAGTTTTGATTTGATGAGAAGTAAAGAACAACAAACACTAATTTACATAATGTTCTGAGTCAGTCAAGGAGCACACGGCGGGTGTGATCGGTCAGCAGGTGATGCTCATTTTTCCATGGTACCTGATCCCACTTCTACTATTTTGGAGGTCCGTGTTTGCTCTGCTCCAGTTTTGTTTAATGGGCCTTTAAGCTTAAATACTATTTTAATCTCCTTATATTTAAAATCCTAAATTCTAATAAAAAAGGTTCCTCAGATGCTAATAAAATACATTTCTTTTTCTAAATTTTTTGATACTTTTATTGACTGCTTGCTCATAGTCAATAAATAAGGGAATAGGATTTTTTTTTTACTATTTGCAACTCTGATTCTGTACGTAAGTACTCTGAAATGGATATTAAAAGGATGCTGGAGTTCAACGTACATGTAATCTGTGGAGACTAGGTCTTTCCAACAAATCGTTGGAATTCCGATGGACACTTATTGTCCTTCTTGATTAGTTGACGTGTTTTTATATTTCTATGAAGCAAAATTCTTTCAAAAACGTCTACATTTGAATAAAAGAAAACACTTGTTGTGGCCTTCAGCTCAACATTAGATATCTCGACGACGTATATCAATTAATTAATAATTATTATCGTTCCTACGTTGATTCGATATCTCCCCGTGAACTTGAAATTAAAGGCACCACAGAGTCTGCCAAATCTGTTTCATATTTGGATGACTTACTGACAATATTTAATAAGGACCAACTAACAACTAAACTATATGACAAACAAGAGTATTGAACTATAACATCGTCAACTTCATGTGTATTAATAATAAATATATAACAGTCCTTCAGATGAAGTGAATTTTTCTTTATTTACAAAATACTTTGTTTCGGGACGTAAATTGTAATAAATTTGAAGATCACCATTTTGATATACAGCTGTACTTAAAAAAGTCTAATTTTCATTTCGCTTTCGGGTTTTACTTATTCAGGGTTAATGCTTTATACTTTTTAAGCTGATATTCACGGCTAAGATCTAGAGGAAAAGGGATTCTATCCTCAATAAATCTGATTTCGTTCAGAAGTACCTCAATGAACACACAGTAGCCACACATCGTAACAAAATGACATCTCCATTTCCCAGTCGCCAAAAATGAATCTATTAATATCTTGCCGTACACGCGCATTCCGTCATCAGATTCTCTTTTATTTTAAGAACACTTTATAATTGTTTCAAATAAAATAAGATTAACTTCGTTTTCATTGGCTTGGCAAAGCTTGGTCTAACTGTCAGGCATTTCTTTCAAACCATTCACGACCACAATAAAAAATTATTTTAGACTCAGAATAGTTCCCATACGTTGTTACTTTCATTGCTGAAGGAAAAATATTCTTTTTATTCAAGGACTGTTTGTCTGTGGTCGTTTGAAGATGAAAAAATTATGGAATACGCGTTGGAAATTAATGTCTTACTTTCTTCCACTCAAATTTTTTTTTTAATTTTTTTAAATCATTAATAATAAAAACCTGTAAAAATCGCTATGAAGTTAAAGCCTTATATTGTAATTATTATTCAGTTTTATATAGATTTACATAAATTATGTGTAGATATCGAACAGTTATCAAACTCAAAAGTCCATTAAACAATACAAAATAGGAACAGACCAAACATGTCTCCTAAACATCAAAGGCGGGATCAGGTGCCATGGAGAAGTGAGCATCCCATGCCGATCAGTCACACCTGCCGTGTGCTCCTTGTCATGATCGGGAAATAACGGAAATATCCCTCTACAATTCAGTGTGCAGTATGGCCTAACAATTAGTATGAAAAACGTCAGTCAGCATTTGACTCAATGATAAATTGTATTTGCTGATAAGGTCATTGTATCGACCATAGAACTAACGAAATGATGACTTTAAACGAGACTGGAGATTTTCTTGCTTCAGCAACTTTTTTATTAATAATTTACCTCGTTTTAAAAATTGTTCATTCGTAGAACATACCCTGCGTATCGAATAAACTGAGAGATATAAACCTTGTATGCAGGTGATAAAGGCTGCATAAGTAAGGGAAGTTGATTGTAAAGTCAAAGTCATCTCGTTTGTCATTAAGTTTAGTTGTTAGATCACCATTAACATCTTTTTCAAGTAAAATATCTAAGTATGAAACATATGTGTCAGATTCTGTGCTATCTTTTTTCAAGCTCACTGGGTTTATCCTATCAACATTTGATATCCAATTCAATAGGTTGTCAGAAAACCTGGTCTTCAAAAAACCACATACATACTGTCAATCAGAAACTCGAGCATCTTTTTAATATCAACTTCGGAGCACTTGTGTGGGTTCATTCTACCTATTCCCACTTTTTGAAAATCAGGTAGAAAAAGGTAAAATTTCATGTGGGAGTAGGTGGAATTTTTGTGTAAACAAATAATTAGCCGAATAAACATGTCATGACTGTGAAAACAGTAATTATTAAACCACTGTTGGAATAGAGGACAGGTAAATTTGCTACTTTAAATTAAAAAATCTGACTTTTTACTTCTATTTCAATGAGAAATTAGACTTTTTCAAATAAAAATAGCAGATAAATTATTTATTTTATTCATTAAAAAATCACACTGCATAAGACTGGTGTATGGTAAACCAATGAATTTTACATAAGACTTTTATTGATCTTTAAATTGAAATCTGGATTTAAATAACTATTTTTTAAAAAAAAAAAAATTAAAGAAAAATTCATAATAAATTTACACATACATAAGTATATGTTTCAATGAATTTAAGTATATTTTTTAGTATATTTTTCTGTTAAACTATTTATTTTATATTTAACTCCAGTTATATATATATGATTTTTTTTTTCATATATTTATTTTTCAATGAGAAATTAGACTTTTTCAAATAAAAATAGCAGATAAATTATTTATTTTATTCATTAAAAAATCACACTGCATAAGACTGGTGTATGGTAAACCAATGAATTTTACATAAGACTTTTATTGATCTTTAAATTGAAATCTGGATTTAAATAACTATTTTTAAAAAAAAAAATTAAAGAAAAATTCATAATAAATTTACACATACATAAGTACGTATATATTTCAATGAATTTAAGTATATTTTTTAGTATATTTTTCTGTTAAACTATTTATTTTATATTTATCTCCAGTTATATATATATGATTTTTTTTTTCATATATTTATTTTTTTATCAAATTAAATAAATATTTATATGCATTTTTTTTCAAATAAAATACATCTTTTTTTTTAGATAAATATATTTATTTTCTGTCTTAAAATGTACAAAATACTGGTAAAATATAGGTAAATCTAAGATGGGATGTAATTATTCTAAGGCTGTTTAAAGTTAATTCTACGTTTAACGTCACATCTAAAGTTCAAAACCTACGAGGGAGGGAGGAAAAAAATAAACAAACAAAATTTTCAAACAATTGTGAATTTATTAAAATTAACCTATTCAGTACATTAAAAACATTTACTGTAAAAACAAATTAACTAATCAAAACATCTATTGTTATTTGCAAGTGGGAATAGGTAGAATTGAAATTTTTAAAAAGTGGGAATAGCTAGAAGACACCCTTGTGTGTACAATCAGATTCCATATTAACAAGAACATTTTGAAGATGGCCAATGACAAGATGTGTATAAATCAAAGAGTTCCATTTTTATTGAAAAAGCAGATGTTAATAATAGCAAAAGTCTCGACTTTAAGGATAGATTATACAAACAAAAAAATGGATGCCTGGATTGGTACATATTTTTCTGATCCTATTTCTGCTGTAAATGATACAACTTTAAAAATTTCAAAATAATAAGAAATTGTAAACATTCTATGTGACGTTCAAAATTCTACCATTCTGTAGCCATCCTTCTATGTTATACAAATATTCTTTAACTTCCAATTCCATTTTTGTGTAAATAAAAAATTAAACAACTACACGGTTAAACTTGTTCATTTTCCTCATTTAAAAAATAATGCAGGCTGTAATTTTCAATATTTATTACAAAAGTTTGTATATCTGTCCTTAATTCATCGTAGGGAATGACTGTATATAAAGCTGAAAAGTTGTAAGTTTTAATGCTGTTGATTATGGTAAAATAATGTGATTTCAAATTTTCCAAACGTTCCTTGGAATTTTTAAGTATCCACTTGTGATTTTCACCACTTTTCGAATGTATTGTTGTGCAGTACTCCTGAAGTTTCTCCTTCACTACTCTTAATATTTTAGTGAGGAGTAAAGAAAGAAGCCCAGTAGAACATTTACTGGAACCCACTATGTATCTTTGTTTGTGAAGATTTTAATGAAGTGTTGGAATCTAATATAGATCTTGTAATTCAAATTCATTCCAGTTGTTAGGAAAATCAAAAAATATATAAATTTGAAGAATTTCCAATGAATGAAAATTAAATTATAAGCAATGAATTTAATAGCTACCCATTTTATACGGTATAAACTGGGTTGGAACAGTTTACGCTTTTTTATAAACCGGTTCGCGGTTTATAAAGCGTAAACTGCCCCAACCCAGTTTAAACCGTATAAAATGGGTAGTTATTAAATTCATTCCTTAAATATCCCCCAAAACTCAAACTCAAAAAATAAAATTAGACAGTTATTTATTTTTTTTTAACAAATACAAATATTTATTGGCACAAACACAATTACAATAATTGGTTATTTCTTAATCACGTGTACAAGTAAATACTATTTGATTTCCATATACATTACTTAAAATTCTCTATATTGTACAGTGTATCATATTTTATACATATTTTTTATTTGTAAAAAGTTTAATAAAACTGAATAAAATTGTTAATAACCATTTTGAAAATATCAACAATACGGAATTAAAACCTAACAATATTTCGTAAATATAAAGCATTTCCTTATCATGTTAAATGTAATTACAATTAATAGATATGGTCTTTATGTATTAATTGAGGAAAAGTTTTGAGAGTCAAATGTCTTATTTAAACTAACTAAATGTCTGAATAATCTGATGATAATAAAACAAAGATTTTTTTAAATATTTATGATATATAATTTTAAGGAAAGGCCTCTTGTACCTTGTATATAAAGAATGATGATTTTTATGAAAGTTTTTTTTTTAAAGCCTCTTGTACCTTGTAAAGAAAGATAACCGCAGTCTGTACTTGTGTTTAATCTCGTTCAACTTTTATTTTGGTTAGCACTCTTTCCATCCATTGATTGGCAAGACACGACATTTATAGCCGTATAAAGAGGAAAGGGGCACTGATGTCAAACGAATGCCAATTAATGCATTTTAATCTAGCCTAATGTCGATATTTCATATGAATTTAAATAATCGTCCAAAAAATAATTTTTTATAAACATTTATTGGTTTTGTAAAAGTTTGGTATACTGTATTGATTTGTGTGATAATCACGACAACTGCTTTCATATTGTTATTCTTTTATTTACCAGATGTTAGTAAATAAAAAAAAAAACAATATGACAATTTGTATTTACTACTAAATTCAAAAATTGTAATGACACCACTCTGAAACAATACACGAAACAATATAAAAAAAATTAAAAACTTCTTTTCAGACATGTATGCATGACTTATAATTTTCTTACAATCTTATAGGGTAACATCTAAACACAATGCAAAGACAGAAAATTTTCAAGATAACTTTTTCTTATTTACCAACAGCTGTTAGTATCCTCCTCAAACCTTACTGTTTATATTTGGCAAGAAAGTAAAGAATAATCAAAGGTACATCGAGACAAGTTTAAAGTCCATTAAAACAACACAAATACGGACCTTCAAAGATGTCAGGCATGAGGAATCAGATACCATTGGGGAGTAAGCATCCCTTGTCGATCGGTCATGCCTGTCGTGTGCTCATTTTAGGATCAGGTAAACGGAGAAAATCTTTGGAAATATCAGTGTGTAAATGACTTTAAAATTAGCACGAAAAACGTCAGGCAGTATTACAGCTAATGATGGATTGTATTTGCTGATAAGATCATTAAATCAATCACAGAACTTGTAAAATAATGACTTTCAAAGGAGAATGTTGATATCCTCGTTCGATTAACTTGTTGGTTAATAGCTTGTCTCGTT